ATAGGAAATACGAGATCTATTTGTCTGGGTTCAAGTGTTCGGTGAATAGTAGTGATGGGTGGCTGGAGGGTGCTCTGGTATGATCTGCTCCCCCTTTCCTGTCAAACATCTATCGTCATTATTGCTCCCGCTTTTCATTGCACGTTACTCTCGGCACTTACATGACATAATTGTGTTGCAAGTGCTGTAAAACTCTTACTAAAACCAAACTAAGCAAATTATTGTATTGTTAGTGTTGGTACTTTGGACTGCTTTCCTATAGTTAACGTAAGGCTATTAGTATAATCTGTATACTTTTTCTAGAGCTGATTCTTTACAGATCTTTTGTAGCATTGACCGGCGGCGAGTTTAAAAACATAATAGGGTAAGGCCTGGTGAATTCATACTATGTTCACTACACAAGCAAGGGCTGTAATCTCCCGTCTTTTTTAAAAATTTGCATATGGCCTTGATCTCATTTAGATGCAGATTTCAGCATTTTTGTTGTGGAAGATGATAGATTTGCAAAACATCAGCTCTTCCAGTCCCCTCCTTTTTTTGTTAAATGTCTTAACAGCCCTTGCTTGTGTAGTGAACATAGTATGAATTCACCAGGCCTTACCCTATTATGTTTTTAAACTCGCCGCCGGTCAATGCTACAAAAGATCTGTAAAGAATCAGCTCTAGAAAAAGTATACAGATTATACTAATAGCCTTACGTTAACTATAGGAAAGCAGTCCAAAGTACCAACACTAACAATACAATAATTTGCTTAGTTTGGTTTTAGTAAGAGTTTTACAGCACTTGCAACACAATTATGTCATGTAAGTGCCGAGAGTAACGTGCAATGAAAAGCGGGAGCAATAATGACGATAGATGTTTGACAGGAAAGGGGGAGCAGATCATACTAGAGCACCCTCCAGCCACCCATCACTACTATTCACCGAACACTTGAACCCAGACAAATAGATCTCGTATTTCCTATAACACTCTAATTGAGAAGAAAATGAAATGCACGCTTTTCGTTCTGTCTAGAGCTGCTCGTTCAATGTAATGCAATTTGATAAGAGTGCTGTTCCAGATCTGGACTATAAGAAAAACATAATAGGCCCCAAGGACGTTCATGGCTGTAATAATTTTTTTTGTATATAGAGATGCTTGGATAAGGGGATTCCCCCCCCCCCTTTTTTTTAAAGAGAAAAAATAGTGGCGGGGGTCAATGTTTGTGATTTATGCCCCCCCCCCCTTTCCTTTCACACAAGCTAGATCATTTAAGTTAACGAGGTTCAAACCTGCCTGTTTAGGCCAACCAGGTTTAGAGTGATACAACGTCGCTTCAGAAATATAGAGATACTCGAGAAAAGCACTGTTATGGATGAGTGTCGTCTGTCAGAGAATATCTCACCTCAAACTTCCAATTGCTGACATCTTCATCATAGTGTAGAACTTTCTTTTTTTCCAACCAGTTTTATGGAGGAAGAATGTTCATAATTTTGTTTTCTGAAAGCAGATAAAAAGCTTACTTTTTGAACAGTATGTAAAATAACGTTTTAGAATTTGTGTGTATTTGTGTGAATGTGTGTGAGGGAGAAAGAGAGAGAGAGAGAGAGAAAGAGAAAGAGAGAGGGAGAGAGAGAGAGAGAGAGAGAGAGAGATAGGGAGGAAGAGAAAGAGAGAGAGAGAGGGGGAGGGGAG